ACCTCTAGCTCACGTCCTTCTTGGGAAACGGACAGACAGACAGACAGACACAGGGGCGATGGCATAAGCCCGCTTATCTAGCTTTTAAGCAAAAGAGCGGGCTAAAAATGCATAAGCCGAGCATGTTTACAGAACTCAGTAAGCTATGGAAAAATAAGGTTTTAGAGTATACGTTCTACTAGGACGAAAACGGTTGCTTTGGTGTTCAAGTCGCCGTTTTTCGTTGTTTAAAAGTTTCCTCAAGCTACTTAAGCCATCCGGTTGTTATTACTTCTATGATGCCAAAATGATGGTCTATTGTCCCCCTGTCCAGGAGATGCCTACCCGGCCGGTTTAGATGGCGACGCGTCCTAAGAACAATGTCCTATCTGCAGCGTGCGCAATACATAATGTCCTATCTGCAGAGTGTCGAATACACAATTTTCTATCTGCCAAACGCGGGTTTCGGGATACCTCCAAAGCCACTTGTAGTGAAAGAAGTAAACCAGACCTCAATAGCATCCGTTTGAGCCTTGAGTTTCGTGCATCAGTCGCCCCACTGCAGAGTAGCGAGGCCAAAAACAATTCAAAGAAAAGATTGAACCATTATCAAATTGTAAGTGCAGAGGTTTATTCCATCCCCTACCTAACCAGTTCAAGATTGATCAATAGAACAACGTCTGACCCTGAATGAGACCTTCAAAATTTTAAAAACTGGTTCTAAAGTGCCGGTACGAAACATATCGTGCAACATTAATTTACATAAGATGTCCAGTCCATAAGCGTTTCGTATTTGTTTTCGGCAAGGCAACAGAATGAAGTGTATGGTTTGGCCAGCTTACGAACACACTTTTACTGTTCTTGGTGAGCTGTCTCCCGCGTTGCACTACATGGCGGCATCTCGCGGCATATAGCCAGATTCCTCTGTGATAAAACTCCAGTTTTCGTGTCATGGTGCTGTAACAATAACGCTGTCCCCTTCCGGAATGAGAATAGTCGAGTGTTATCTCGACACGGCAGTTACAGTACAGGCCTTCCCCGTTGGATAATCAGCACTCACTTACAAATGCACACCAACCGAGTTGTACACTTTCAAGTGTTGTACTACGTAGTTGAACACTTAGAAGTATTCATCTTTCAGTTTCACACTTACAAGTCTTAAACAGTGAAGCAGTTGAAGACAGAACTGTTGCGGGAAACACAAAGATCAAATTCATCGCTGAGCGAAGCTCAGTCCAAGTCGCTGAGGGGTCAGGCGATGTCTTCGTCGTAAGTCTATCCGTCCGTGTCTCACTCAATGGACTACGAAAGGATTTGTTTAGTTTGAAATATTCAGTCTTTTTATTTGAATTCGCGCGTAGTTTGTTCGTAGCACTTGTATTCGAGTGGGTAAAGAGCGCAAACGGCGCCTGCGTTCGTAGCACTTGTATTCGAGTGGGTAAAGAGCGCAAACGGCGCCTGCGCCACCTCAAGACTTTCTTACTCTCTCATAAGTGATAAAACTGTCGGACTGTCAAACCGAGTGTGATATTTTTAGTTTTAGAGTTGCGGCACACGTCCTACAGAATTAAGCGAGTGTCCGGTGAAAAGAAACGAAAGTGATATTTGAGTTTGTTGGGGGAGGAAAGGTGAAGAGGAAAGGGGGGTTTTGGGTGGAGGTGGGGGGTGCTCACGTGGCCGACACGTGCGAAGCTGGACACGTGCGCCAGGTGCCCGGGGAGAGCGTTCTGTCCCCCTCCGGTAGGCCCAGGCCCGACTCGCACAGGAGGAAGCGGGACAGACTGCCTCTGCCCGGGAGCGGCGGAACGCTGGCGTGGACAGGCGATGTTGTAATGATGTGACTGTCCTCTGACAAGAGGACCATATTTTTAGTTAGTCGCTGCACTCTAAAAAAGTTCACCAGAAATTTTCCCAGTAACTACTAAGGTTTTTAGGAGTTGTATAGTATTACATAAAAAAAATCGTTACTACTTAACTTTTTGCTAGTATTACTAAACGTTTTTCTAACATAAAAAACAGGAAAAAGTTTGACAATACTTCAGAATTTTTTGATTATTCCTCGATTATTCACGCTATTGGGGTACTAAGAAAGTTTTCTAGTAAAAAGTGTATCCACTATTCTACTATTGGTATTGGTAGTTACTGAGCAAATTTTGTAGTAACACGTTTAGAATGTGTCCCGAGCAATGAAAGTGTGCAAAATTGTAGAGGGTGCTCGTGTAATACGAGTGTGTACGGTATACCGTTCTCAACGTGCCTAAGCAAGCCGGGTGTCACACTCTAGGTCCACCAGGCTTGCACCCCGCAGGGTTTTCCACCACCAAGGGTGGCACAGCCGCGTGGCCCACTGCTGTGGCCCCGGCCATCGTTCGCTGGCGATTTATAGGGCCATTCCCCGAGCCAACTGAAACTGCAGGGGGAGGGCCCTCTCCCGAGCGGCTGGGGGCCCGGTGTCCCGTGTCGCGAGCCAGGACCCCGTACGGGGGTCTCTTGGCGACGTCTCCTAAGGGTCACTGGAGTTCGCATCCACCCGCCCCACCCATCCATGATGTGACCGGGACACAGCGCGGAGAGAGAAAGACAGTGAGAGAGCGAGAGAAAGAGAGAGAGAGAGAGAGAGAGAGAGAGAGAGAGAGCGAAAGGTCCATCCCATTCGGGGCTGCTGCCGACTGAATGTGAATCAGCCGGCTGCACGCCAAAGCTGCTCTCATCCGCGGGCTCGCGTGGGAGCCGCAATAGCAAAAATACCGACGAAAAACCATCGATGCCTCCTAACGACAAAGTCCGATGTATTGCGCTCCCGTTACACAAAGTTCGATCTGTTTCGCTCCCGTTACACAAAGTCCGATGTGTTGCGCTCCCGTTACACAAAGTTCGATCTGTTTCGCTCCCGTTACACAAAGTCCGATGTGTTGCGCTCCCGTTACGCAAAGTTCGATCTGTTTCGCTCCCGTTACACAAAGTTCGATCTGCTTTCCGTCGCGCTCTGCATCGCGGTCTTATTATGTTTATATTTTCGCTAATATTGCCGGTAGAAAAAAAGTGAAAGCTGCCGTCTGTCGCTAAAAGATTGAAGAACAACATACTCTAAAGAAAAAATTGAATGCAACAACAACAAAACTGCGGTAGCGCTCTAAACTTGGGCCTCCCGAGAGCGGCCAAAAGCAGATCGAACTTTGTGTAACGGGAGCG